AAGAGGGGAAGCTGTTTGTATATTTTAAATCCACTGGAAAAAAACCCTCAAACCTTCTGCCATCACTACTTTTGTTTTGGCTGTTAGGGTGTCTTTTAGATACTTGTTAATTTAAATTGGTAAATTTCTGTGTGTGCTGTCTGGGTCCAGAAAGACCCCTTAGTTATTTTTCTTCTCTTTACCTGAAGTTTTAAAAATCAGATTTTTCCTGTTATATGTGCTAAGCCCTTATGTGCCCTACCCTACCCCTATTCCAAGGTCCTTTTAAAGGCTAGTTGTAGAATTTTGTTTAGGAACGGAGAGGTGGTTCACAACTCTTACCCCAACTGATCAGTGTCCCGTTCCCATCAGCTGCGCTGAGCTCCTCGTCACTGAGCCTTCCTGCCGTGTCTGCCTGAGGGGTCTGTTGATGTGTTTTGTGTCCAGTTTCTAAAACTTCGGGTTCCGTCTCCAGAGCCCTGCAGCCCGAACTTCAAATCTGGGCCCACACCGCTCAGTGTTCCTGCCTCGGTGCCAGCCCTTATCTGTCCAGTGTCTCTGTTTATATGATGGGTCATCTCCAGTTAGAAGTCCGCTGTGTAACTGGGGCCTCCTTTTTTGAATCTGATGATATTTTTTTCTCTGTGCATCTAGGCCGGTGCACAGAGCCAGCAGCAGAAAGAACAACTGGAACGCCTTCGGAAAGATATGGGCTCTGTAGCCTTGGACACAGGAACTGCTACCGGTACTGGAGGGTATCTCAGTGTTAGGAACCCAAAGGGTTACAGTACTTCTGCTCAGCAGGAAGATACTTATGTTTAAGAGAGGAAAGGGAAAGGGGGGATGTTTTCCTTATGTAGGGTTTGCGTATTTCTTATTACATTTATTCCAAGGATTTTTCTTCATTGTTACTGTTGAAAATAGGCTTTTCTGAACCATTGTATCTTGTAACTTATATTTGTATATATGAAGGCTTTTGATTTTGGTACATTAGTCTTTTATTTTGCTACTTTACTTTTATATTGTTTGAGTTTTGTCATTGATTCTCTAGGGATTTCTAGGTTGGTGCTCATAGCTAAATGTGCATACTCCCAGCCACCCACACTTATTGGTGGACTGGCCTTTGAAGGATTGAAGTTCTATTCATGGAAGCTATTGCTATACACCTAGTAGAGAACGGCAAAGCCGCTTGGAGATGCTGGGAGTGGGCCAGGTTGGCCATTTGCATGAACTTGCCTTTGCCATCCCTGTTGTACAGCTCAGACACTTAAAGTTCTGTGTGCTCAGGTCTTTGGAATCACTCATGGATACGTGAAGTGACAACTGTTACAGCTGCTTTTGGAAAGGGTCTCCTGTACTCAGATAACCTGTTAAAGTTTGGGGGAGTTTTGGTAAATTACTTGAGGAAAATCACAAGTATCATTGTATAATTCTTAGTTTTGCACAGAATGAGGCATTGACTGTCAGGTCACCCTGCCATCCTTTCTCAGGGCCACAGGCCCCTTGAGATTTTTGCCCCTTGATGTTGCTGCTCTTTGCCACCCTGTTCCCCACTTGACCTCTCAGGCCCCTGCAGAGAGAGTGGTGGAGTCTTCCAGTGGCTTTGGGTTAGATGCATGGTTTTAGGTTCTCATAGAGCCCAACCCCTGCAGGCTGACCCCCTGCCTAGGAATGGCCCGATTAGACCTTTTCCTGGTTTTCCAGCCCTATTCAGTTTCCTTGAGTGGAGAATTTGCCTCTATTACCCTATTCAGTGTCCACTTTCCCCTCCCTTTTACTTTTGAATAATACCCTGGCTCATCTGCTGTAGATTGTTCTACCCTGTGCTCTCTTCAGACCCTGTCAGAACTTAATTCCCACTAGGAAGCTTCCTGGGTGCTCCATGCTCACCCTGGACCCACCCGCACTGTGGATCTGCTCAGATGTCTTTAGCCTTCATAAGAAAACCACAGTCTGTTCCAAGCTGTGAGCTGTTAAAAACAAATGACCTTCCTACTAAGACAAGCTACTTGAGAATTACTTTCCTGGGTTTAAAAATGAGAGCTCTTGAGTTACTGGGACAGTGAAAGTGCTCTGTGAACTATAGAAATGTTAAGCGGCATCAACCCTAATGTTTAGAATTAGGACCCTGCCTTTGTCGTGACCACTTTCCTCCACCGAATTTAAAATCACAGTTATTTCCTGATTCAGAACCACCTTATTGAGGAGGTCTGTGTTCATGACATACCATGGGCTTTTTTTCTGCAGACAGCTCACCTCCTGTGCGGGACCCTTCCGACTTGATCCTGACTCGGGGAACCTTGGAGGAAGAGGATGAGGAAGCAGACAGTGACACTGACGATATTGACCACAGAGGTGAGTGGTAGCTGGGGTGGCTCGTGAACACAGACTAGTGGCTTATCCTCACGTGGTTTGGTTGGGAGCTTCTTGCTCAGAGAGGACATTAAGTGTGCAAGTAGTAGGTGGAGGAGGAGCTGGCAAAGGATACAGCACCAGGAAGGAGTTGCATGTCCCACGAGTTCCTGGCTTTCCTGCTGAGTGGTTAATATTGAGCTAATCACAGGCCTTTTATTAGTCTCTCTTCTCATCTTTAGGCCCTAACTAGTTTGAGGAATCTGGGGTTGGAACACACAAGGAGGCCTCAGCAGAGCTAAACTAGTCGGAAGGGACTGTAACACAGTACAGAATGGCCGTGGAAACCCAAAAGGGTCAGCTTGGTGACGCTTTACAGACAGAATCTGTTCCTTTGACCACCCTTTACGTTCTAGCTGCAGCCAAACGCAAACCTCTCTTTACTCCAATGTACTGGATGCTGACGTGTGAAGTGCCTCATTTCATCAGATTTATCGAAACATAATTTACAGAGTAAAAAACCAGCTTTTAAAAGTTTATGGTTTGATGAATTTTAACACACATCTATATAGTCTTGTAACCACCTCATAATCAAGATACAGAACACTTCAATCTCCCCAAAAGTTCCCTCATGTCTGTGTTTTTCCAGTTTCTTCCTGCGTAGAGTTCCTGCCAATCACTCATCTGATTACTATTCCTATAGTTTGCCTTTCCAGAATGTCATGGGATTGGAAACACAGTTTGCATCTGTCATGTGATTGGAAACAAGAAGCTTGTATCCACTTCTTTCACTCAGTATAATGCATTTGTGACCCACCCCTGTTGATGTATCAGTAGTGACTTTTATTGTTGAGTAATATTCCATCATGTGGATGTACCACTATTGGTTTATGCATTCACCACCTGATCGACATTGGGGTTGTCTCCACATTTTAGCTGTTATAAATAAAGCCGCGGTTAACATTCATTAATAGGTCTTTGGACATATGCTCTCATTTCCCTTGGATAAAAATACATAGGAGTGGGACCTCATTTTAGTTACATTATGAGGGAGGTTTTCTCCTCACTCTGTTAAAAAAATATTGTACCTTTTCGTAACATGGTAGACAGAGCAAGCTCTGAGAGATTTTCCTCCCTGGGAGAAGTGAATGGCCTGTCCCTTAGCAGTCGAGTGCTGTGTCTGGTGGGTGGGCGACTGCAGCTCTAATCTGTGAGGCTGACGGGAGAGTTGGAAGACTGTTGACCTTCTCATTTTCCTTGCAGTTACCGAGGAAAGCCACGAAGAGCCAGCATTCCAGAACTTTATGCAAGAATCGATGGCACAGTACTGGAAGAAAAACAACAAATAGTTTCTGGAAGTCCAAAATTTGGAACTCTGTGAAGGAACTAGCCTTACCTCTGATTGGGGTTACTATAAAGAACAGTTTTGTTCAGAATAGCAGTTTCTCTTATTAGGGAAATCTCCTGACTTGATGAAGCCCAGAGCAGGAGACATTTGTACCTGGCCAGTAGAAGTCAGTTCCCCTTGGCCTTTTCCTTGGTTGTTTGCAAGGAAGGGCATTCCATTCTTGGATGCGGGTATTCCTTCAGGCATAAAACTTCACGTTTTCTCTTTTGAACTCAAGTACTTTTGCTGCTGATGGGTGGACTAAGGAACATATTGTTCATTTCAGATCTGTTATTAGGCTGGATCTGTAGCCTCCGTTTCCCCGGCATCTGGCCCTTGAGCCACAAGCTCCCCTCCTTTTGGCAGGAGAGGAGAGGGGATACACGAGCCTGCAAAGTGGCAACTACTTGGTGCTTGTGTGAAATGTGCCTCGTGTGGTAGCTCGTTATAGGACACCTGGTTTGTTGAAGAAAGTGGGCAAAACATGTAATTAATAAATAAGAACCCTGCTTTCGTTGGTGCCTTGGATAGAGTTTTTAATTTTAACTTTGTTCTAAGCCTGCCTGTTGTAATTTCAGATAATACAAATGATCACAGATAGATTCTCTTCTCTTCATCAGAGACGTTTAAAGCCACATGTGCAAACCTGTCTCAGTAAGGTGACGTTTACTAAAGTTTCCCCTCTACACACACTAGCAACCAGGTGTAGGGCCAGGCCCTGTTTGTTTTGTACTTTGAACTTGATGCAAAGTATCCTTGATTTACTCAGAGGCCATGGGTGTGGGTCAGATGTACATTGCACATACAGTGATCACAGTAAGGGTTTACCCTGCCTTCATTCTTCCCAGTACCTTAAAATGCAGCACCTTTCTCCTAAAGGAGTTTTTTTCCCTGCGTAATCTGTTCCAGTGGTTCTGAAAGTGTGGTCGCTGGACCAGAAGCATAAGCTTCTCCTGGGAAATGGGTAGAAATGGGACACTGAAGACCTGACTCAGAAATGGGTGGGCCCAGCAGTCTGTTTGAACCGCTGCTCTAACTCAGACAGCCTGTGACGGTTCTGGGTCAGCTGAACTTCGGCACTCGGTCCTCATGTGACCTGCTTTGTCACGAGTACCCTAACTTTGACCATCTGGTACCTGTTCTCCAATTTAAACATTCTACAAATAAAAGTATTTTATTTTACCATGAAGTATTAATTTCAATATTGTGCACCTAGTGGGAACCACTGGTCTAAAAATTTGAACCTGTTCTTATAGAGGAAACCATACGCATTATAAAGCACTGAATATACCTGGGTTTTTTTTTTTCCCCTTAGTACCTTTGAATACTTTTCCCTTAAAGAATAACTTTTATGGATTGTGGGGGAAGGAGGATGGGTGGAAGTGGTAGAGAGTATAGGGATAAATGGTAGTGGCAAATAAAATTTTTTTAAAAAAAGAATGACATATATGGCCTACACTATCAGCCCTTATAAGGGCAGGTACAAAGTCTTACTCATCTTTGTATCCCTTGCAAAGGACGTAGCACATAATAGGTACTCAATAAATACTTCCTAACTGAATTAAATATTAGATGGCTACTGTATGGAAACCAATGTCCACTTTTATAAACAAAAGGCAAACAAAGCTAAGCCTGGAAAAGGGTTTAAATTAAGTGTGCTAAGGATGTACAATTAGCAAATTTATAAATAATCTGGTAACAGTTTAGATTATAGCCTTTCTATTGCATTCATCTTTATTCTCAATGCCTGGGACATTTAAGGCACTCAGGAGTGTACTAAGTTAAGCTGTGCCTTGATTTTGGTCTTTAATAAAGGAGTGCCCTGAATTTCACAAGACTCACATTCTGCGCCTGGAAAACAAACGTCAGCAGTATTTAACATGCTGGTACTTATTACCAAGGCACAAAGCACATGTTTGCTGACTCCTGGTCATCCCACTGCTGCACCATTAACTGTAAGACTGACGGAGACTGCAGGGCAGTACTGTGGTGGGTAACGACAGTGAAGTTGTTGGGGACATGCAAAGTGGAAAGGTACCAATTATCATTTTAGGGGCCGTGCATCCAGTAGGAGCATAATGTGCAGATGTAGAGTTCTGGCAAAGGAATGGACTGCTGTCCTCTAAGGCCAAGCAGATGCAACACATGGAATAAGCACAAGCCTGTCCTTCGACAGGCCGTTTGTTTCATTCAGAAAGGGGAAAATGAAAGAAACAGCTTGAAATAATACAATAAAAATACAGTGGTACCTCAGTACTCGTCCTGAATACGTTCCAGAACTCGAGATAGTGCCGAAACTAATACCAAACGACGAAAAATTTCCTTCTGCAGGTGGCATTGTGACTCACAAGTTCTAGCAAGTGTGATGAGTCCAGAGCAAGCGTTGAATGCTGATTTATTTTTTCTTGTCAAAATGCAAAAAGCAAAAAGCACAGGATTTGACAAGTTCTGAAGCCAACAAGTACCAAGGTATGACTATATTTTAAAAATCTGAGTGGAACTAAGAAAGACAAAAAGGATGAGAACAGATGGAATAAATCTAAAGCAAGAATAAGTGGCTGAGATAGGGCTGTCTGAACAACCAAAAAGTCTGTTACCACAGACAATTTTAACAGACTTCATGGGCAACAAGAATTTAAAAGGCTCCTGATGGAAAGGTTGTAAAGAATTTAGCTATTTCCTGTCAGGTAATAGTACTGGATTCCCAACGACTGAACCAAAAATGAAGCAAATTAAATGAAAAGCTGACATGTGATACCAGCACGCGTTTACTTGCGGGTCTGTTCAAGCACAGCTTTGGGGTTTAATAACACCTCGGCATTCTCGCGGGCCCCGCGACACTGGCCAGAGGGAACGATGATTCTCAGCTGTGCGAGAGGAACAGCCGGAGAGGCTAAGCCACGCGTCCAGTCCACAGTAGAGGTGGGTCAGAGCTGGAGCTGAGGTCTGCAAGTCGTCCCTGTGTCACGACCTCTGTGAGAGGTGGCTCGGCTGCTGTGGGCGTAGGAGTAAGATGCAAACTTGTTTCCTTGAGTCCCATTCTACTGAACTCAGGAAAATCCACTGTGGAGACAAACTCGAATCCATTGGGTTTTGTTGGGTTTATTGGTCCGGACAGAAAGTCTCCCTTCCTTTCATATTTTCCTCATCCTCTTCTTGCAGCGCTGGTTGAAGACGGGGGAGGAGCCCATGAGGCTGTCAGTGGAGTGAGAACCGTAGCTGCTGTCTGAGTCTTCGGGGCTCTGCGGGATCCCAGCCTCACTCATGCCCGACATGGGCTCCTCGAAGACATCGCTGCCCAACACGCCGTGCCCGGCGACATTGCCTTCTTCGCTCTCTTGAGGTTCCATTTTCACGTGGGCCAGGTTCCAAAGCGGGGAAGCATTCACCTCTGTACCTAAAAATGGAAGAGCATATAACTGCTGGTAAGCCAACACTGGAACAAAGTAAAACGAATATACTGTCCAGGACTGATGGATTCTGAGCCCAGCTTACATTCTGACTCTGGCTGGAGAATATGGCTGTATTTCTCTGCTTCAAAAAGTTAGACCAGCTCTGAATACCTTCCTTTCTACTTCCTCCACCCTCCTTTATCCAACCTTACCCACCCCCATTTTGCTAAACAAGGGAAGTAAAACTGCTTGTATGTGGAAAGATTCCCTGTCTCAGGGCCTAAAGGCAGGTACAAGCACAGGCTCTTCTTAAGTTTGCCTGTCCTTCCTTCTTTTAACGGGGCAGTCTTGTTTTCCTGCTTTTTGTCTGGGTCGCTAATCCTGTCTCACATTATGAAAAGTCAGTGATCACGCCAAAATGCTGGCAGTTCCTAGACTGTCAAAGAGACACAGCCCCGAGTCTCTGCAACACGGTCCTCCTATCTCCGTGTTCTAGCAATATTGTTCTGAGGTTATTCTTCCATGGTGAAAGGCTCCGCCTGGGTTTAAAAACTGTGATCTAATTCTGCTTAGGCCACACTGGAGGGCTTTCTATTTGCATTATTTGTGCATTGATGAAACGGCAATTTATATTTGTAAAGAACCAGTGTCTAGACTAATTTGCAATCTGACTTAAGGACCAAGTTGTCCTGGTTCATAAAGTAACAGCAGAGTCTATCTAGAAGAGGCCAGCTACCTCTGTGTAGCTCCTTTTCAACTGCTTTTAGCTCCAATTTGTTGTGTTACTCTAGCAAGGAAGCCCAACTGTTGACGTATATTTGAGCAATTAACACTCCTCTGTCTATCTGGAAGTTGTCTTCATCAACTGAGTACAAGCACCAGGAAGGACCAATACAGATACTAAGGCAGGGGCATCAAACTCATTTTCACTGGGGGTCATATCAGCCTCACGGTTGCCTTCAAAAGGCTGAATGTAATTTCAGCTCCTCAACAGTTAAGGAGTAGTTACATTTATACAGTCCTAAAATTACTTTGGCCCTTTGAAGGCAAGCTTGAGGCTGATGTGGCCCCGGGTGAAAATGAGTTTGACAGCCCTGTAGGGAAGGAGGGGACAGCTGCTTACCTTGCTGGGTCAGCTGAATTAACATCTAATCAGCAGATTAACATGTATTGCATCTACATCCTAAGTAGGAATCATTTAAAAGAATGCTTGTACAGCTGTGCTTGTCCTCTAGTTACAGAGAGGACCATTGGTATCTCTAGATTAGTGAAGCCATATTTGTTTTGAAACTTCATTCTTCTGCCCCCCCCTTTGTTATTCTGTCTTCAGAGTATGATTCCGTAACACAAAAAGCACTGAGATTCGAGATCTCCCAGAACCAAAGTAAGCGGATTTCTCTTACTTGAAGCCTGTGGTGAAGCCTCAACCTCCAGATTAGACGGGAAGCGCTCACTCTGAGCCCCAAGGACTCCCATGGGCAGTGACTGGTCTCCAGGAGCAAGGTCCGCCTCCAGTTCCTCACTGACAGGGAAGGGGATGTCACTCACAGGTTCCTCCTTGATCTTTACAGGCTTAGTGTCCTCTGTGGCCTTCTCAGGATTGACAATCCTCTCATACTCTTCAGAAAGTTGCTTACTAATCTATTGGCAAGCAGGGGACAATTTTCCAAAGAAATGTTAGAAACAAGTTGGATAGTCATGGAAAAGCCAACAGAACATGCATATGAATACGAATAAAGCATGCACTGCGAATGGAAGGAATTTGCTTAAGGTGTTGAGTTGGCATGTAAAGTAAATTTGTTTGCAGAGAGAGTATGTGTGTGTCATTGATGAAAAGCTACATAAAGGTGAAAAACAGACAAAGCTAAATCAGAACTGGGACAAAAGATCACATTTTTGGTTATAAAAACCAAGAGTTAACATACATACCGTAGGTGGATAATGAATGGTGTAAGAAATCAGAATCACCTCGAAAAGACTTTTTTGTTGGGTGTTAAAAGCCCCTTTTGATACTTTAGATTTGGGGAAACCAAAACCATGAACAAACTTAGGGCCTGCATGAGGCCACAAGTGTTGAAGAGGTGAGATATTTCTGGTTCTAACTCAAAGTGGTGTCTCTCCCCACCTTGCCACCCTTGGGCAGTATCACCTTGCTGATCTGTTTGGGCAGCTCAGTGATGAGGCCAGTGAATCTCAGCTTGGGCCTGAGGAAAGCAGGCTGTGTCCACTCAGGATCCTGTGCTCTGCATTCTATAGCAATTGCGGGATCCTGCTCAACGCCCGTGGACCACACATTTTTCCGTTCTCTCCACAGGCCACCTCACCTGTAGCATGTAACTGTGATAGTCCTTGATGCGGTGCTGCCAGAACTTCTGGAGGGAGAGCACGCTGCCAATGCCCACCTCGTGGAATACCTGCTCCATGACATCAGGGAAGGGCGTCTGCCCCAGCAGGGCTTCCCGGTCCACAGCAAAGCGCAGCAACTTGGTGAACTTCAGGCAATACTCGTGTGCCACGTCAGTCAGGGTCTCCAGGACACTCTCATTTGCACACTCAAAGCCTGCATGGGCCAGGATGGTGGCCACGGCCTGGTAGAGGAGCTGCCGGCAGGAGTGCCAGCTGAGTTCGGTCACAGGCTCCCCTTTCCCACTGGAAACAGAGACATGGTAGCAGTGTTATTAGTGCTCTTGCAAAAGGCTGACCTGTCCTATCTCCCTACAGGCTTTATAATCCCAATCAAACCGCTGGCCCAGCTTTCCAGGGGAATCCTACACAGGTTACACAGCCCAGTTCCACCTGTGCTGCTGTCAGAGCATGTCTAAGCAACCCACAGCCATATATTCCGAGCTCCTCCGATTGCACAGTTTGACTAGGCAATACATGCCTGTAAGAAAGAGTATAAAAGGGCACCCAGTGAAAAGGAAGGGTCCTTCTTATACCAACTGCTCAATTTTGATCTCTTATAGGGTCCGATTAATTTTAAGAGTGCAGCCTAGACACTGCTCGATGTGCCCAGGTTATCTCACTGGAACATGGCCCTCACATGCTGGGCAGCATATGGCCTTTCAGAAATTTACAGTCCCAACTGGGAGGTTCTCACGTAACTGCAACAGACCACTTGTAAAACTGGGGAAGCAACTCAATTTTACAAAGCAACGTAGAACATAGACAGCTTACAAAGCCTTTGAATCCTCTCCTACACTGTGAAATGAGTAGGGTCCACATGATTATTGCTATTTGGTAGGTGAGGAAATCGAGGTTCAGAGGGGCTGACTTGCTGAAAGCTGTCTAGGTGTTATTAATCAGTGCCGCATGGGGCTTCTAACTCCAGATTCCACGTTCTTCATAAGGCACCATTTTGTACCTAATCTCTATTGCAGAAATCGTAATCTTTCCAATGGACAACTTCAAAAAGTTGTCTGATCTCCTAAAAATAACTCTTAACAGCTTCTAATAAGGTACCTGTTCTCCTGAAATTTCCTATCTTCTACTTCACCTTGACAAAGGAAGTAAATAGTTAAAATATAGAAAAATGAAATAGGCCACAGAAAATTACTCTCCCCTGCTCCATGCTTGGCATGGGTCAGCCCTTGTAGTACAAAGAGCCCTTGAGGAAGCACTCACCCACTTTATTCTTCTTATCTGCTCAGTAGTGCAATTTACATAACAATTGGGAAATAAGAAAACCAATTGCCAAGTAACTTTTCATTTACTATTTTCATCATTTCCTAGGCATTCTTTCTGGGCCAAACACTTCAGGCCTCAGAAGTGCCTAGTAAACAGAAAGCTAAACAGTTTTGCTTTACTTGAGTAATAACATGGACCTGTATATTTTTGATTCGCAGGCCAGCACTCAATCCACTGAGCCACACCAGCCAGGGCATGGGCCTATATATTTTCAAAGGAAAAGAATTCTTTTGGCACCCTCATAACTGATGCAAATTATCTTTGTTACACAGTTTCTTAAATATGTATAAAACAAACTACGTATGACTCTCTGATGTTTATAGCTTTGTAACAATAAAGTTAGAAATTTGACACAAAACTACAAAATTCTAAGTAGAAACATCAATTTAATATGATGGACAATACTATTTTGTTACAACTAAATTGCTCTTGAAATGGTGCTGCTTGCTACAGAGCAAGTATTTCTAAGTTGGACTTACCTATAAAAATGTGCCCCACATGTAATTACATAATTAATTATTCCTCCCCTATTCATGATTCCAACTTCACCATGACATCATCTGGACTTCATCAGCCCAAATGCAACTTTTACATATTAAGTCTATTTCTGTTCTTTTCTTGTCAATTTGGGACAATTAAAATAGTACTATTATAACAAATAGGCACGTGCAATAAGTGATATACAATATTACTTATGTAAATTTTTGTTAAACTTAACTTGCTCTAATCTTGAGGAAATAGCAAATTCAGTAAGTGGGATATCTAGAAGACAAATGATCTAAACTCTTAAGAAAAGATTAATATATTTTTTAAAAAGAAGAAAGCTTGACTAATGTCATCCCAATAATCTTAAATTAATAAAGTAAAATAATAATAATATAAAAGAGGAAGCTATTCTGGCTTAAAAGACACTAAAATGGCATAAACCAAATGCAATGCATGAATCTTTGTTAGCTCCTGGATTGAGGAAAATTTACCTACGAAAGATATTTCGGGGACAACTGGAGAAATCTGCATATGGACTTGTTACATGATACCATTTAATTAAGTGTTCATTTACTTTGGTGTAATAATACCATGGGACTATGCAGGAAATTTTCCTTATTCTTAGGCTAAGGTGAAAAATATAGACATGAAATATTGTGATGCCTGTAACGTTAAAATATTTGGCAAAAAAAATGTGTATATGCATTTGTGTACAAACATGGGAGAAAGTAAATATGGCAGAATGTTAACCTGTCATATAACTAGAGTAATCGTTCACTGTACTATTATTTAAACTTTTCTGAAGGTCTGACAAATTTCAAAATGAAAAGAAAAAGTTATTTGGCACCAAATGCAAACTTGCTGAACTCCTACAGTAGCACTAGGTTATAAGTCAGCCATTCAAAGCTCCAGAGCAGGGCTTCTGAAGCTTAAACACACACGAATCTCCTGGAGGTCTGTTACAGGGAAGATTCCAGTTCTGGGGGTCTGGGTGGGCCTGAGACCACGTCTCTAACAAGCTCCCAGGTGATGTCGATGCTGCCATGTTCAACCAGATTTTGAGCAGTGAGGATGAAGAATGGTTTTATACAGTTATTTCTTAAGCTGTGTTATCAAAATGAAAGTACATCATTAAAAAATTCTGGTATAGAACTTATGGGTTCCTAATAATACCAGAGTAAGTCTATGAATCTCAGTTTGAGGACACTGAGCTAAATCCATGATAAACATTTTAAATGAGAGACAGACTAGGTTCTGAGGACGATGAGGCCATGGCCTGTTTCACATACCAGGGTCGTACCTGCTCCTAGTAAAGTCCTGGTACATAGCTGGCACTCAATAAAGATTTACTGCATCAGAAAATTTAAAAATACAGACTTTGGGTTTTGAAGATTGGGGTTCAAGTCTTAGACTTCCCATTAATTACCTGAGCAACTGAGTGAGTGACTCCTATTCTGAGTTTCCTCAGGGAAATATTATTACGTGCTTACTAACAGGGTTGTTGGAAAGATTTTGTTGAGAAAAGTAACATACAGCAAAACCTTGACTTACCGATAAAAGTCACTCTCTGGGTCACTGTGCCGAATCTGGAATGGAGCATTGGGATTCTTACAATCTAAAGGCAGGAGGTCATCAGGAAGAGGAGGTGACCCAGGACAAGAGGGAAGGGGTTCACCCTCTTCAGTCTTTACACCTTCTGTCTGTTGCTGATTCTGGGCCTGGGCTGTGGCAATGAGGTTGCGTAGTCGCCGGTTGTGCTGGATCAGCTGAATGGTATGGATGGTGAGGCTGCATGGCTCCGACGGGACATCCAGCATAGTGGGGGGCTTGGGCTTGTTGGCTGAGGGTTGGTGCAGGGGCGGGTCATGGACTTCCACTAGACGGAACTCCCGTGGCAGCAAGTCAAAGGAACTTCGGTTGGTCTGACTTGATGAGATTGGTATCTCGCCCCAGTATCTCAACATTTTGGAATAAGAAGAGTTTCCAAGTCAAATGTAGATGGTATCCTAAAAGTGGTGTTTCAGATCTCTGCCAACTGTAGATTATAGGCTTCTGAAGTGAAAAACATGAAGTCTAGCTGTTATTTATGTGAAAAGTAGTCTGTTCAAGACCACTTAGAAAAATGCTAGTGTCTGCCACACCACAGGACTAACAATGTTTTCCCTGAAGAAATCAAGAAAAATACAACTATTAGATGACAGTCATCAAATCATACATAATGATAATTCCTACTGCACTGAACCACACAGTGAAATTTGGGTTACTAGCTGACTAAGAGCTGCAGTAGTATCTGGGATTCTATTTTCCATCATCATTCCCAATCCGGAACAATTTGAAAAGCCAGTTACTTAAGTAAGACCTGGAATGTTTTTCTTTTTCTTTCTTTTTAATATCAATGTGTGGTTGCCTCTCACATGGCCCCCACTGGGGACCTGGCCTATAGGCATGTGCCCTGACTAGGGATTGAACTGGCAACCCTTTGATTCCCAGCTTGTGTTCAATCCACTGAGCTACACCAGCCAGGTAAAATACTTCTTTATCTTGACACATATGTCCTGGATCAGCAGGAGAAAAGGAAATAGAGTTAAAATAGGAAAAGTGGCTTTTATTCTGTGTGTTGTATATGGGACCCTTTTAACTGGTCCTGGTGGAAAAAAGTGTTAACCAGTAATCTAAATGGTCTTAATGCCTTCAATTTCTGATACACATATACAGGAAGAATCTGAGAGACTTCTGCTGACTCCTAACTGGTATTTCCTGCCTCCCATCTCTCCCTGTGTCTAATTTACCCTCCAGTACTGCTACACTTACTCTTTTAAAAACTCAGATTAATGGCTTCCCATTGTCTATTGGAAAAAGCCAGTCAGAATTCTTTGGTCTACCATTCAACAAAATTCACAATCTGGCTTCAACCTACCTTTCCAGATTAATTGCTCATATGTCTCTTCAAATTCAACAATTATCAAATGCCAGGCATTATGGGAGGAGACAGAAACCAATGCAAGATCCCTGATCTGAGGTGAGGGAGTGAACCATGAAAAGAACACTTCAATATGCAAATGTATGGTAAGTGCTGTTCTGGAGGTACAGACACTGTGCGGTGGAAGTCCAGTTCCTGGAGGAAATGACCATCTCAGTTCCAACAACGTCATACAACCAGTTTCTTGAGCATGCCATGCATTCTTTAAGGAATTTTTCTGCCAGAAACTCCCTGCCACTCATCACATCCCTGGTAGACTTATGCTCATTCTTAAGTCCCCACCCTCCATGACCTCCTCAGTACACCTTCCTCCACTATATTCTCCTAGCACTGCAATGAACGGCATTGCACGTTCCATCCCAGCACTTACCTCTGGATTTAAATGAGTTTTTATCTCAACTGATTTTATTCTCCCATCTCTCTCTCAAAACCATGATCTTAGTACAGTGTCTGGCTCACAATAATATTTGGAACTTACTGAGTGTTTACTACGTGCCAGACTTTGCCTTAATTGTTTAATTCCATTTTCTCAACTACCCAATGAAGTAGATACTGTTATCCCATTTTTCATATGTAGAAGCTGAGACCACTTGCCCACTTGTCACAAATGGCCAAGGGGGAAATCAAGACAGGCTCCAGTGTCTGTACTTTTTTTTTAGCAGCAGTAAGTTCTTTATTTTATTTATTTTTTTAATATTAAATTTTATTTAGTTACTTTTCAAGTACTTTTTTTTTTTATCTATTTCTCCCATCCCACCCCCCCCCCCCCCGCCCGGTCTCCCCCCTCCCTCCCATTCCCCCCCCTCCCAGTCCTCATCTCTGTGTCTTTCATACTTGTTCCTCAAAATCAGTGTCTGTACTCTTAACCACCACACATGATGCCTCAATAACTGCTTTTGGAAAGAATAAAAGAATGGACGAATGAATGAACGAAGGGACCAAAAAATTGCCCTCTTCCCTAACTTCACCGAAAGGAGTACGAAGAACAGGTTCCAAGCCCAAGGAATGTCCACTGGCCGCGGGCGCCTCCACAGGCTCAAGCACAGATCACGTGGTCCTGGATTCGCCTGATGCCCGGGGCAGCGGGGAGACGAGGAGGTCTGGCCCTGGAAACGCCACTCTTCCCTACCGCGTTGGGAGAGCCCGGGCCTGAGCGGATTACTCCGGGGCCGGAAGGCTGGTTGCGGATTAGTGATCCAAGGCTTCCGGAAGAGCTTCTCGGAGGCGGGCTGTGCCAAAGGAAGTGCTTATTACCCGATGTGCAACCTCTAAACATGTCCCCGTCTGACAGTTGTCCCGACCGCCTCTTTTCGGGGTTCCTCTTCTTATAACCTTTTTAGCCCTACCCACCTCTTAACGGCGCTGTCTTCTCGCAGCTCCAGCACCGCTGCCCGAAGAGGCCGCAGGGAGCTGGGGAGAGGGAGGCACGGAGAGGAACGTGGAGACCGAAGGGAGAGGTTTCCCAGGACCGAGTTTCGAGACTGCACCCGACTGAGGATGGCCGATAGTCCCCCTCAGTCCGAGCCAATGGCTTCAGAAGAAGTCAATGACGACTTCAAAAAGCCAGCCCTGCCGGTGCCCCCGGCGGAGCGAGGCCAGGTCCTGGCCAGCAATCCTTCAAACCTGGAGGAGATGAAGGAGGGGCCCATGGAGCTGCAGGACCCAGATTCCGGGGAGCCTGACGCCCCTCCGCCTCAGCCGGAAGGCGCGGAGACTAGGAGTCCGCGGGAGGGGCCGCCGCGGCAGCCACCGACGGCTGCTCCTGCTCCCGGTGGCCCCGCCCGGGCCCCGCCTTATCGAGAGCCTCCGTGGGCCGGCCCCGCCACGGCCCCCTACAGCCTAGAGACCCTGAAGGGCGGCACCATCCTTGGTACCCGTAGCTTGAAAGGGACCAGTTACTGCCTTTTCGGGAGGCTGTCTAGCTGCGACGTGTGCCTGGAACACCCCTCGGTGTCTCGGTACCACGCCGTGCTGCAGCACGGGGCATCCGGTCCCGGTGGAGAAAGCGACGGCCACGGGCCGGGCTTCTACCTGTATGACCTGGGAAGCACCCACGGCACCTTTCTCAACAAAACCCGCATCCCACCCCGCACCTATTGTCGGGTCCACGTTGGGCACGTCCTCCGCTTCGGCGGCAGCACCAGGCTCTTTCTTCTTCAGGTAAGTGGAAAAACCTAGAATTGGAATCTCGGGAGCGCACCGGGCCTGGTTCCTGAGCTCCTTAAGCTTCCGCGGCGGAGGGAGATTCTCCTAGTCGGCGATTACAAAGGTGGAGGAATCTGGCGGGTCTCCAAACCTTAGGACACACTGCAGTATTTTTGAAAGCGACTTCAACTTTCCCGAACCTTAAAATAATTCTTTCGCTTGGTTCATCAGGGACCAGAGGAAGACCAAGAGGCAGAATCCGAGTTGACAGTAACGCAATTGAAGGAATTGCGCAAGAAGCAACAAATGATGTTGGAGAAGAAGATGCTGGGAGAAGACTCGGATGAAGATGAGGAAATGGATACTACTGAAACGAAGAGAAATACCGGTGGTCAGGAGGATGAAATGGGCTGCACCTGGGGAATGGGTAAGAAATTAAAATTGCTGCTGGAGGTTAATATTTTAAAATTATTAGTAGTGGTACCCTCAGATGTGTTTTATTAAGCAAATTTTAAGGACTCTAAATACAATTTTTCACATCAGGTTACCAAAACCCAGAGAGATTCTTTTACTTCTCCGAAGTCAAAACATCGAATTATGGACACTATGGATTTCTTTTCATGTGTTTTATTTACAGTTCACTCGTTGGAAACTCGTTCTCACCATACAATTAGTTTGGTATTTCAACCATTTAAAAATAATTTTTAAAGTAAAATACCTTGATTATCATGGAAAAAGCTGAAACTACATTTAAGCAAGTCAATTGGAATATTACTCAGTGTAGGATATTCCCTTTGATTTTGTTTTTTTATGTTTTGTAAATACCTGAAATGTGAAATAGCTAACCAGAGAAAGCTGGTCCCTTAGCCAGAGGAGCTAGGAATATAAAAAGATAGAAAATATTGTTGGGAGGACAGGATAAACAGGAAATTACTGTGGTAATGCCAAACAAATTTAGAAACCGCACTAGAGTGCGGGTTCAGAAAAGGGAGTGGTCTCTGAGGACTTAGACCTGCGCTGTCCAGTGTAGGAGCCACTAGTCATGTGTGGCTATTGGACACTCCCAGCGTGGCTAGTCCCAATCAGCATGTCCTGTACGTGTAAAAAACACACCGGATATGAAGACTTAGTGTGCAAGAAGAATGTGAAACATCTCATTGATAATGTTTAATATTGATAATGTGATTGTGATTTCACCTGTTCTCCTTTTTAACATGGCTGCCAGAAAATGTTAGATTACATATATGGCTTTTACTTGATTTCTGTTGGGCAGCACTTAGATCTTTGGGGAAAGTTTATAAGCAGGAGAGTTTTGAGCTGGGACTTGAAGGAAAGAAAAAGTAGTAGCCCGTAGGAAGCTGAAAGGAGTGGTGTTCAGGGCAGGGTTTGATGATTTTCAGGGAGTAATGAATAGAGCAGTCTGTTTGGCAGATAGAAGTGCTGGGAAGTTATATTGGAGGCGAAGTATGAGACCTGGAGCTTAGATAGTTCTTCTGTAGAACATGTAGTAGGTAATTTTGCTTTTAAAATACAGTGATAAAAGAAAAAAGCGTCACAAAAACAAGTTTTAACTTGTTACACAATTCGGAAAACCTGAAGATGTCGACACTGGTGGTTTTCTGGTTGTCCTCCCTGCCACCTCTCCTTTTCATCACTAATAACTGTGTCTTTGTGAAGCCTGAAAGGATAGTATCATTCATATGATCTCCTCTTGTATCTCATTGTCTTTCCTTTCTTTTCCCATATCCTATAGGAGAAGATGCTGTAGAGGATGAAGCTGAAGAGAACCCCATTGTTTTAGAATTTCAGCAGGAAAGGGAGGCCTTTTACATAAAGGATCCGAAAAAAGCTCTCCAAGGCTTTTTTGAACGAGAAGGTGCGTAAACATATTCTGACCCTCCTGGTGAAATGTGTCCTCAGCATTGTTGTTTTCTAGGTCTTCAGGTGCTTGGGAGTGCCGCATTTTATCCGCTGTCTTCCTGGTTCAGTACTTGCCCTTGTGGTCAGTTGTGTCAGGTTTATTTTGAAAACAGTAAAAATTTTGTTAGTCTTTCTCACCTTGGAAAGAAGGAAGTTTTTTTTTTTTCTGACTCTCCTCATTTTTTTCCCCCAAAAGATCCTAGATTTTGGTGGCAGAAGATTGAGCCAACTTCTTGTAGTTTTTTTTCTTTGTAATTCACCTGATATTTTGTAATTCTTAGCATGGATTTTGACTTTATAGGATTTAAAAAATAATTCCACAGGGGATTGTTTCATTTGTGATATATTGAAGGAATGTCTGTGTGTATGTGTGGTTGGATAGGTGTATGCGTATGTGTGAGAGTGTGAGTACGTGAATATATGAATTGGTTGCATTCTTTGCTTAATATTTATGCTTCTAAAAACCAGGTAGTTTAATAACCTAGGTCTACAATTTATTAAAAGTATGAAAGCTACTATACAGTGGACAAAGCTGTGTATGAAGAGTTGATTGGTTTGATTTGAGTTTGCTTTTTTCTGCCTCACACTCATCCTGATTTTATTATCAGATGATAATCCCCAGGAATAAGAACTGAAATGCATGAAAGTTAGTTTGCAGTGTGGTAGGGGAACTTGATATTCTTATTTAACTTTAGTTCTTTTAGATCCTATTAAAATTTTCTTGTCTTTCTTCCTTCCAAAGGAGAAGAATTGGAATATGAATTTGATGAGCAGGGGCATAGCACTTGGCTCTGCAGGGTGAGGTGTGTTCTCTTCTCATTAATGGCCATTTTTGCAAAGTAGCAAATTTCAGGTTTAATTTATGGTTATAGCTAACAGTCCAAAGAGTAACTTTAGTTTTAATTTTAATTAAAGTTATTAATTTAAGTTATTAAACTGTTCCTGATTTGGGATCTTGATAGTTTAGTAGCACTTATATTATTGGAGAGGTGGGTGGAATGGGTAAGAGGTGGAAGGGAAAAATTTGAAATCTAACCTTAGCAAGATACAACAAAATGAACTGAGAGATTGAAAAGCCGTCTCAAAAAAATGACCATTACTATAACATATTAATTTTTTTCATTAGAATTGGACCTTAATGCTGTGCTATAATTCCCTCTAAACCAATGCAGGTTACCTGTGGATGATTCAACTGGAAAACAGCTGGTGGCAGAGGCCATCCACTCGGGAAAGAAAAAGGAGGCGATGATCCAGTGCTCCCTGGAAGCTTGTCGGATCCTCGACACCCTGGGGCTGCTGCGGCAGGAGGCCGGTGAGTGTGGGAGCGCTTTCGTCTTTAAAGAAAGGAAGGCAAGGAGGAGGAAATTTTAACCCAGTGGAACCTCTTTTCAGGAGGAAAGTGTAAATTGTACAGAATTCTGTGAAGTGAAGAGAAAAAGTTCCCTACCTCAGTACCATAAGGTAGCCATGGTTTGTGTTCTCCCAGACGTTTTCTGTGCATACGGATGTGTGTTCAGAACTAGATCCTTAAACAAAAAACGAACACTTGTACTCAAATGCAGTTACATTATTTATACTCTTTAGTGACTTTGTTAATAGGAATGTACTGTGGAAATTACCTACATTGTTATGTTATTTACCTCATTTTAGAAAACTGGCTATACTATCATTTATTAATAAGGCTTATTTTTATTTATTCTAAAGTTAATTTTTTATTATTGTAAAGTAACTTGTGTATAGTTTTAAACTACCAGAAGTTCTAACAAAGTGCACCTGCTCCTTGCCCTGGTGCTCCTCAGCCCTTGTCTCTAGTCATCTCATCGTCTGCTGGCTCCGTTAAATTAGGATTTAGTATGTATGTGATTATGCTTATGCCAGTATTACTCACAGCTGAGCAATTTTTAATTCTTTATGTTTTTCCTAAAATTAATAATTGTGTTTGTTTTAAATGAACAAACAAAACAAAACAGAAGCAGACTCATAGACGCAGGGAACAAGCTGATGGTTGCCAGAGGGAAAGGGTGTGAGGGGAAGGGCAAAGATGAGGAAGGGGAATAAGAGGTACAGATTGACGGTCAAAAAGTTAGTAAGCCACAGGGATGAAATGTACACCACAGGGCATATAGTCAATATTGTAATAAGCTTGTGTGGGTCAGATGGTTACTAGACTTGGTTATCACTTCGTTAGGTATATAAATGTTGAGTAACTATGTTGTATACCTGAAACTAATATAATGTTTTATGTTAACTATATTTTAATTAAAAACATAATTCTGTTTTTCATGTGTTTTATTTTTTTGTACCTCTTGCTCATTCTTCCCACATCTTTCGAGAGCTTTTCAGTCTGTTTTCCACATGGTCAATCACAATAAATGATTCATCAATTCTCATATTTGGGGGAGACGTTTCTCCTGAACAGCACCATTCCCCACCCACTAGAAGTTGGTAGGTGTTTCCCTTTGTTCTCAAGGTTCTGAAACTTCACTGTGGTACCTTCACCTTTTTGTGGGTCTGTTCACCCACTTTTCTGGGTGCTTGTTGAGTCCTTTTGATCTGGAAATCTTGGCATTTCAGGAACATCTCAGGAACCATTGACTAGTCCATCTCTCTGCTCTGTGTCTCTGGAATGCTGCTATTGAGATATTGAACCTCATGTACTGACCATCTAAGTTTCTTGTCTTTTTTCCCTTCTTTCTCTATGTGTTTTCATTCTTCGTGGCAGATTTCTGCAACTTTATATTTCAGTCTCTATTTTGCTATCAAGATTTTAATTTCCAAAGCTCATTTTCTTTGAATTTTCATTTTTAAAACATAACATCTTATTGCTGTTTCATGGACTGTAATTATCTCATTTCTCTGCTAATCTGTTTTTTCCAGGTTGCTTTTTCTTTTTGTTTGTTTGATCTCTATTCTGCATCGTAGAGAACTTTCTCAGGTGTCGTGTAGTCCTTGGTTGTAGATTCTTATTTTGTGATGAAAAAGGTGAGTGACAGTTTGGAATATTTAGATGGGAACTTCTCACGTAAATATCCCTAGGTTTTTCCTCTTCTCCTGGCGAGATTCCCCAGAGAGGGCTCTGCCAGTCTCCTTCGTGACAGGAAGGGACTGGCTGCCAGCACTCCTGGGGCTTGGTGGTGGAAGATGGCTGAGAGGCTTCTCGGCATTCAGCTGTTTTCAGGACAGTGCTGTTTCCAGAATTTAGTACCCATGTCCTCAACTGTACTCGTCAGCTCAGAGTCCAGAGGCTTTCTGTCCTACCCTTTCAGAGATTAACCTCTGAATTTTTTCTGGGGGTGGGAAGGAGATGGGGGGGATCTGTCTCCCATCCAGCTTTTACCCGGCCCTGTTTGACAGCTCTGGGCACCTCCTGTGAGTGCAGTCATGCAATGTCTGTCCTTTGTGTCTAGTTTCTTTTACTTAGTACAGTGTCTCCCAGGTGTAGTCCTTTGTTTTCATATGCAGTTTGGCACCTTGTTGAATTTTGTCTTTTAATAATTGATGGTGGTATTTAAAAAAATACTTATCTCTCTTTTTATTGAATAACAACTGACATAACATTATATTAGTTTCATATACACAATGTAATGATTCAATGTGTCAATGTTGCAAAATGATGACCACAATAAATCCGGTTAACATCTGTCATCATACATAATTACAAAATTCTTTTTCTTTTTTTAAGTGTATTTTATTCATTATGTTATTACAGTTGTCCCATTTTTTCTCCCTTTTATTCCACTCCACCCTGCACCACCCCCACTAGCATTCCTCCCCTAGTTCATGTCCATGGGTCACACATAAAAATTCTTTGATTTCTTTATTTCCTATACTATTCTTAACCTCTCCCTGTCTATTTTGTATATACTAATTATGCTTCTAATTCCTTGTACCTTTTCCCCCATACTCCCCCTTTGCCCTCCCTGCTGATAACCCTCCATGTGATCTCCATGTATATGATTCTGTTCCTGTTCTAGTTGTGTGCTTAGTTTGATTTTTAGGTTCATTTGTTGATAGTTGTGAGTTTGTTGTCATTTTTTACTGTTCATGGTTTTGATCTTTTTCTTTTTCTTAGCTATGTCCCTTTAACATTTCATATAATAAAGGCTTAGTGATAATAAACTCCTTTAACTTCACCTTATCTGGGAAGCACTTTATCTGCCCTTCTATTCTAAATAATAGCTTTGCTGAACAGAGTAATCTTGGATGTAGGTTCTTGCCTTTCATGACTTTGAATACTTATTTTCAGCTTCTTCCCTGTAAGGTTTCTTTTGAGAAATCAGCTGATAGTCTTTGGGAACTCCTTTGTAGATAACTTTCCTCTTTTGCTGCTTTTAAGATTCTCTCCTTATCTTTTAAAAAAAATTTTTATTTATTTATTTAGATTTTATTTATTTTTAGAAGGGAAGGGAAAGAGAGAGGGAGAGAAATATCAATGTATAGTTGCTTCTCATGTGTCCCCTGCTGAGAACTGGCCCCTGCTGGGAACTGGCTTGCAACCCAGGCATGTGCCTTGCCTGGGAATTGAACCGAGATCCTTTGATTTGCAGGTCCATGCTCAATCTACTGAGCTACACCAGCCAGGGCCTCCTTATCTTTAATCTTGGGTAATTTAATTATGATATGTCTTGGCATGTGCTCCCTTGGGCCCACCTTCTTTGGGACTCTCTGAGCTTGTTGGACTTGCATGTGTATTTCCTTTGCCAGATTGGGAAAGTTCTCCTTCATTATTTTTTCAAATAAGTTTTCAATTTCTTACTCCTCCTCTTCTCTTTCTGGCAGCCCTATGATTCCGATGTTGGAATATTTGAAGTTGTCCCAGAGGTTCCTAAGCCTCTCCTCATTTTTTTGAATTCTTATTTCTTCATTCTGTTCTGGTTGAATGTTTACTTCTTCCTTCTGTTCTAAATCATTGGTGTGAGTCCTGGTTTCTTTTCCTTCATTGTTGGTTTTTTGTGTATTTTTCTTTATTTCACTTGGCATAACCTTCTCTTCTTCCTTTATTTCGTGTCTGCACTGAATCATCCTGATTACCAGTGTTCCAAACTCTGCATCTGATAGGTTGGCTATCTCCTTGTTGCTTAGTTTTTTTCCCTGAAGTTTCAATCTGTTCTTTCATTTGGGCCATATTTCTTTGTCTTGGCACACCTGTTATATTGTAAGGGGCGGAACCTTAGGTATTTGCCAGGATGGGGCAACCCACCTGACTGTGTTCTGGAGCTGGATGTGGGGTAGGAGTCAGAGAGGGAACAAGGCCTCTTGCTTGGCTCTTGCCTAGCTTTCAGTCACTTCCCCTGCTACCCACAAGTGAACTGGGCCCTTCAGGTGCTGATTCCTGAGTTGATGCTTTTGTGTACATTCTAGGACCTCATGAGTCCTTCTAATGGAGTTTCTCTTGCTGCTGTAACCCCCACAGGTTTTTATAGCCCGGGGTTTTGAGGCTTTATTTCCCTGCACCGGAACCCTGTGTTTCATGGTCTGTCTCGCTCCCCAGTTCCTCCTGGTTTATCTGCATGTGAATGTGGGACCATCAGGTTGCCAGCCGCTGTCTTCTCTGCCCTTCCTACCAGTCTGGATGAAAGTTTCTTCTTTCACTTCTTGGTTGTCAGACTTCCATACAGTTTGATTTTCTGGCAGTTCTGGTTGCTTTTTGTTTTTAAATTTGTTGTTGCCCTTGTTTTGGTTGTGCTAGGAAGCAAAGCCTATCTACCTGTGCTTCCATCTTGGCTTTGGTAGTGACATTTTAGGCTGCTTGCCCACTTGCCTTCTTTCTTTTTCTTTTTTTTTTAAATACTTTATTTACTTATCTTTAGAGAGGAAGGGAAGGAGAGAAGGAGAGAAATATCAATGTATGGTTGCCTCTCATGAGTCCCCTGCTGGGAACTGGCCTGCAACCTAGGCATGTGCCCTGACTGGGAATCGAACCTCGAACGTGTGGTTTGCAGGCCCGCGCTCAATCCACTGAGCTACACCAGCCATGGCTCTTTTTCTTTTCTTTAAACTTACTTCATTAGCATTTCTTTGTCTATCTTTAGTATCTCGGAAAAGGAAAGCCAAGAACTGGGAAGATGAAGACTTTTATGATAGTGATGATGACACATTTCTTGATCGGACTGGCCTGGTTGAGAAGAAGCGTCTGAACCGAATGAAGAAGGCTGGGAAGATCGATGAGAAGCCAGAGACATTTGAATCATTGGCAAGTTTTATTTATAGAAGTAGCTGCAGTAGTTTAATTTGTTAAAAAAGATTCATTTATTAATGTTTAGAGAGAAGGGAAGGAAGGGAAAAAGAGAGGGAGGGAATAATCAGTGTGTGGTTGCTTCTTCTGTGCCCCACACTGGGGACCTGGCCCGCAACCCAGGCATGTGCTCTGACTGGGAATTAAACCAGCGACCCCTTGGTTCATAGGCTGGCACTCAATCCACTGAGCCACACCAGCCAGGGGAAATTTTTTTTTAACTTTTTAAAAAAGATTTTATTTATTTATCTTTAGAGGAAAAGGGAAGAAGAGAGGGAGAGAAACATCAATGTATGGTTGCCTCTTGTGCATCCTCTGATGGGAACTGGCCTGCAACCCAGGCATGTGCCCTGACTGGGAAGGGCAAATTTTTTAAATAAAATGATTTATTATTTAAATTTTTTAATATATATTTTAAATTTTATTTTATTTCATTTTTGTCCTTACCTGAGGACATTTTCTCATTGCTTTTAGAGAGAGAGAGAAACATCGGTGAGAAAGAGAAACATTTCATTGGTTGCCTTCTCGTACAGCCCGACCAGGTATTGAACCCACAGCTTGGGTATGTGCCCTGGCCAGGAATTGGACCTGTGACTTTTTGGTCTAGAGGATGATGCTCCAACCAACTGAGCCACACTGGCCAGGGCTATTTAAATTTTTTTATAATTACAATTTTTAAAGTAGTAGTATTGAAAGCTGGTAGTGAAGTGTAACTTTTGTCATCTGTAAATTTGACAGTAGTAAGTCTTCAGCAAGTTGGAGAAAAGTTCTGATTGCTGCTAGAGTCTCTGTCCGCCTCTAGGTAGTCAGTGGTCCGTGGGTGAGCATTCTGGGATGTTACCCCTGAGAAAGGAAAGGAAGAAGTTCCCAACTGGGACATTCTGAGGTGAATTTGACTATAGGCTTCTGGCAGTCCACAAACATGAAAGGAATTTTGAGTAGTGTAGGTTGATAATAGTCTTACACAGAGTATCCTTCCTCAAATTATCATAAGGTATCAGGTGCTTTTACTATAGTAAGTAGGACTCAGAGCTTAAAACACTACCCAGCATCTATCCTTTTGATTTCTCATTGAAAATCAATAACTTAATCTTTTCCTTTTGAGCAAAGTAAAGTGTGTTCTATATATATATTCTGTTTAATTTTGCATTCTTTAATTCAGAAATTAATTCAGTTGAAATTAAATAAACAATTGGAAAATGTTAACTCCACAAGGAACAGATTTAACAGGACTTCAAATTAATCATCCCAAACTTATAACAATAGTGGCAGTAAGAGGAGAAAGCTACCAGATTTTGAAAGAAGAAAAACATGTGCTAACCCTGTCAAATTTGGGCATTTTAGGTTGCAAAGTTAAATGATGCTGAAAGGGAACTCTCTGAAATTTCTGAGCGACTGAAAGCCACAAGCAAAGGTAAGGCCATGAACGACTCATATATTGTGCACTACGCTAGGTGCTGGGCTCCATTGGTTAGTAAGATATATCATGTAAAATGTGGAGCCTTCTAAGGAGCAACATAGCATTTTAGAATGAGGAAGAACATTATAAATTATTTAGTGTAGCTTCTTTATTCAATGATGGGAATGAAGTCCATTCAGGCGAGGTGATGTCCCATGGTCTCCCAGCTATAACCCACTTCCTTATTCCTAGTATCAGTAATGGCCTTTGTCCAGCTCTGTGTTAGTGACTTTTCTATGGAAACTTTGGCTGAATTGTAAAACATTTGCAGTCATCTTTTTAAACATGTATTATCTGTCTCCTGACAGCTCTGTCGGAGTCCCCAGCTCAGGACTCTTTAGATGCGTTCATGTCGGAAATGAGATCGGGGAGTGCGTTAGATGGTGTGTCCCGGAAGAAACTTCACCTGAGAACGTTTGAACTGCGGAAAGAGCAACAGAGACTTAAAGGGTTGATAAAGATCGTAAAGCCAGCAGAGATTCCAGAACTAAAAAAGTAAGTCTTATATTTGGAATTTTATTTATTTATTTGAATTTTATAAAAAAGTTCTTTTCTGTTTAATCACTATTTGTATTTTTAAATTTTGTTTTATTTTTCACTTACAGTTGACATGCAATATTAATTTCAGGTGTAAACACCGTGATTGGACATTTATATAATTTATGAAGTGCTTACTGTAGTATATACTTGGAATTTTAAATAAGCATTTTGCACAGATAACATTTGAATTTTATTTTTATTTTTTAGATAATATTTTTGAATAGAAAAATAAAAGTACAGAAGGCAGTGGCATCATAGAGTAACGAAAAACCTATTTCATTTGTGAGCTATAGATTGCTACAGGGTGTTTAGAGAGAAGGGAAGGAAAGGGGAGAAACATTGATGTGAGAGAGAAACATTGATCCGTTGCCTCTCCCATATGCCCTGACCAGGGATTGAACCCACAACCTAGACATGTGACCTGACTGGGAATCGAACTGGTGACCTTCCTCTTTGTGGGATGACACTCAACCAACAGAGCCACACTAGTCAGGGCTGCTCTGTTATTTTTTCCCCTAGTTTCTACAGTCCCTTCACTTTGCCCTTCCTCAGCTTTACCTGACTTCAGTGGGCTTAGCTTTTATAACTATGTGTAGCCAGTGAGAACATTGACAAACTCATTGTAGGGTCTCTCATTACGCCTTTGTCATTCCTCACTACACAGAGTATCCTTCCTCCTGCCTCTCCCCACAACACATATACACACAGACAAACACACACACACTTTTTTTCCAAAAGTTCTGTGCTTAGAGCTGCTGTGTGTGGTTGTAAGTGTGGACTCTAGGGAAGTAGGCACTTGGAGTCCTCCTGAGGTGTTGGTGAAAACAGGGCCTCATGTGGTGGGTCCGTCTCCTGCCCTGTAGTGGGGGTGGGGTCAAGCTTACCATTGCTAGTGGCCTTCGTACTGTAAGCATCATCTTGTGAACGTGAAGTCATGTGGCCTGGGGTGAGTTACTAGACTAAGTTAGGAGGCTCATCTTCATAACTCGGTGTCTGTGACAATCTGTAGTGTCACTGTCCATTCAAGTTCTGTTGGCCTGAATACCTCTTTCATGTTGGTAGATGCTCACATACTCATTTTGTGGGAGTTTTTGTTTTGCTAAAAGTTTCTTTGTCACTGTCATGATGTTTTTAAATAAATTCCTGTCCTCTCTGCAATAGGTGTGCATACTTATTCTTTCTTCCTAGGACTGAGAGTCACACTATAGATGCTGGAAACAAAGCTAAAAAGCTTGCACTGCCTCTCTTTGGTGCCATGAAAGGAGGAAGCAAATTCAAATTAAAAACTGGAACAGTTGGGGTAAGTTGTGGGTCAAAGTGTCAAACTTCGGGTGTTTGAGTTATCTGAGCTAGTTTTTCTCTTCTTTTTTCAAAGCTCAGATGACTCATTTCATAGTATGGGTCATTTTTTCATAGTAACGTGAGAAAAGGTTGAGAACTTGTAATGACCCCATCTTTCCCATGGCTTGGGTTTTGGATTTTTCTCTTCATTTTAGGGTTATCAAGAATTCAGGTTGGTAGGGAGCAGAGAAAAAAAAATACAACAAAACCAAAAAGAAAAGGAAGACTAAAGAAGGATTAAAAAAAAAAGAATGAATTGATTTATGCCCATCAATTTGCATGTAACTGATTTGCGAATCAGAATGCTAGTTGATTGATTTGGGGGGATGTTACATTTAAGAAAGGGCCTTCTGCATTAGATACCTCTGTCCCGGTGGATAGCTGTCGTAGTGCTCAGACTCAGCTAACATTTGTTGGTAGCAGCGTGTGTACTTGGCTCTGCCGTGTGGTTCTTCCTTACTCCACTTAATCCTCCTAACACCTGGTGATGTGTGGCAATCATTACCTCTCGCAGGTGAGAAAACTGGGTTGGAGAGGTTAGATATAAGGTCATACCGTCAGTTTGTAATTAGACTGGCAGTCAAATCCAGGTATTCTGTCTCTTGAGTTTTGTAGTCTACTATTCTCTGATTCAGAGAATTAGTATTTGGGTACATCCCTATTTGTAGTTGCAGCCTTTAAAAGGTTTTCATCCCTGCAAAGAGCTGAACCTTGTAGATTAGTGTGTTAGGGCTGCCATAACAACATACCACAGACTGAGTGGCTTAAACAACAGAAATTTATTTTCTCACAATTCTGGGGCTAGGAGTCCCAGAGCAGCGTGCAGCAGGGTCAGTTTCCTCTGAGGCGTTTTTCCTTGGCCTGTAGATGGCTGCAGTCTTGCTGCCTCGTCACACGGTCATCCTCTTGTGAATTTGCAGCTCTAAGGATACCAGCCAGATTGGATTAGGGCCCCATGGGAACAGCCTTATTTTTACGTAGTCACCTCTTTAAAGATGTTATCTCCAAATACAGTTACATTTTGAGGTCCTGAGGTTTGGGACTTCATCTATGAAACTTGGGGGTACCTAATTCAGTTGACACCTTGAATTAGGGTAAACTGCCCCCTGGTGGCAGAGTTCCAAAGTCCCAGCCGTATGTTCTGAGTGAGTAGGTGGTTTGCCTGAGACAGGGAAGCTCTTCTGTGTTGTGTGTGTTGGGGTGGAGGAAGCAGGGGTTACTTATGCTTTAGTCAGAAGAAAAGCTCTTTACTAAAAAGCTCTCCTGAGATGATTACTGAAATAAATCCTATATTTAAAACATGATATACTCAACATACACTTCGGTGCCTTTTCTCTATTCCTTAAGCTGTGATCAACTTTTTCTAATAATTTTGTTAAAAGGTCTTGACTAGAATAGTTGGTCTTATTCTTCAGGAAATGTCTTTCTTTTCTTTAGGAGCTGCTTCACTTATTTACATTCTTATTTTCTTGAAGCTGTGTTAAATCTAAAATGAAAAGGCTGTACAAATGATTCATTTCTTAGAATTGTGTGATTGACTTATTTTCTAGTGGGTTTGGTAATGAGTTAAGATCCTTTAACATCACGAGGGGGTAACAGGACAGAATTCCTGCAGCTGATACTCACCTGGAATAACTTTTGAGTTCCTTACAGGTAGTTTCCAGTGTTTTATGCTTAAATATTCCTTTGACCCTATATACCAATAGACATAATTCTTAAGGGCCCATGGATGGACAGAATTTCATGTGAAAGTCCTACTTCCAGCAAACTTGTGTAGGATTTATCAGCGTATAGAGGCTAGACATTCCACTCATTCAGTGTCACCCCCTGGAAGAGATTTGTTTCTTTTTCATTATGTAGCGCCACTTGTTCCCGCGTTTGTTTCTCTTACAGAAGTTACCCCCCAAGCGTCCTGAACTCCCTCCAGCTCTAATGAGAATGAAGGATGAGCCTGAAGTAGAAGAGGAGGAGGAAGAGGAAGAGGAAGAGGAGCATGAAAAGGAAGATGAGGAAGAGAAAAAACCAGAGTCTGGAAGCTGGGGGCCACAGCAGGAGAGAGGGCCAGAAGCTGTGCAGGGAGTGAGTCTGCCCGCAGATCTGACCTGTTCCGAAGAAACAAAACATCATGGTAATGTGTTTCTTTATTCATGTGAAATGTCTGCATTAATTGGATTCTTTGAAAAAAACAAAGCCAGTTCTTACCTTACCTTTGAAATACTTTGTGATGTGAGGTACAGCTGACTCTGTGTAAACATACTTCAATTTTCAGTCATTTTTTTATCCTCATTGCAAAATAGGGGCAAGTAGTTCCAGTCTCTTCCAGAATTGTGGAAAATTGAAACCTGCAGAATCTGAACCCCAGCTACCGTGGTCAGTCCTGCGCTGTTGCCGCTGTATAATTAATTGGAGGGCAGTGGGATATGGTGGGCGGTGAGGCCTGATGAGGGGGTCTCAGGATAAGCCTCCCCTGACTCGTCGCCCCGTCCTAAACCGGACACTCAGCGTAATTGTGCACACTGACATACTTCTCACGGAGGAGCATGGTGGTGGCCATTTTTTTCTCCATGGTGCCTGGTGGAGAACCTGGCACGTAGTATCCCCCCCACCCCCCACAGGAAAGGCTTGCTGAGAAAGGGAATGGATTGGTTTTTAAATGTAATTTCTTCTGATTCTGAAAGGCATATATGCTCATTCAGAAACTGAATCATACATAAAAGTCAAAAGAAGAAATCTCCCACAAACTCATCCCAGAACATGAATTGTTTATCTTCTCGGTATCCTCTTATCCCTGCAGGGGTTATTTTCCTGCAGGTGAGCCAGACTGCTCAGCAAGATTCAGTCTGTGGGGGGTGGGGAACAAGGGCACTGAATGTGTGCCCTTCCAAACACACCGGGTGTGTCTGCATGAAACACGGGGCCTGGGGTGGAGACACTCTCCTGAATCACCTTCAGTTGTTAAAAAATTACCATTTCCTGTTCTGAGAGAGGTAAATCTTTTGGGGTTTTTTTTGTTTGTTTGTTTTTTGCATTTTTCTTTGTTTAGTTATTGGCAAAACGGTTGGCCTTTTTGAAGAAGGTGCTTATTCGTACTTTTTCCGAATCTGGTCTTTGACCCGAATGTTAGATCTATGTAGCAGGGAGGGGAGCGGTAAGCATTGTACTTCTGTGTTTTTTTGTTTAAGGGACCAAAGCAACTACATGTGTGTAAAAATAGCAGACTCTAAAACTTGGTTTATAAGATACATTAACTAATAAGTCTGCCACTGATTAGGATTATTTCAGGCTTTTTTGTTTGTTTTATAACATTGGTACATGCTGTCTTGTAACCTTTTAAAAATATGTTTAAAATATTTTTTTAACATGTGGTTTTAATAAGGGACGTGGTGGTCAGTCACATGTGTGTGTTGTGACTTATTCAGTGAGCTCCCTGGTGTTAGACATGTAGGTTGTGTGTTCATTTTGGCTACTTCAAACATGCTTGTGTGTAATAAATCTTGGTACTCATTCCGGATTATTTTCTTACAATATGTTCCTGGAAGTAGAATTTCTAGGAATATGCACATTTCAAGGAATATGTACATTTTGAAGGTTTTGCTAAGTATTGCTAAAAGTTTTACCTCAGTGGTGGCCAGTTTTTCAAGTGGAAAGTTAGTGATTCTCTGTCAGGCCTCTGGAGGCACATTTATTGAAAACTTAATTTTAGTTGAAGCTAATGATGGTAAACTTGGATGATGGTGTATGTGCTTAGCTTTTCTTGCTTTTGTTTTTGTTTTCTTGGTCCCCCACCATGAATCAAATCATAACAATATGCTTTGGTTCTGTGTTTTATAGAAAACATGTCTCAACTCAGCCAGGCGGGACAGAATAAAGATTATCCAGAGATCAGTGAGGCGGCTGCATCGCACGAGGAGCCCTCAGGCAAGTGGCGCAGCCGGTCCACTGTGGCTCTGCACCCAGGCAGCCTCGCGGGTCCTAGAGGCTGGAGGCGCCGTGAACGGCCTTTAAGACGCTGGGCTGCCAGTGCCCTGGGGAGACCTGGAGTGAATGAGGGGTTCACGTTCGGCGCCATCCCCTTTGCCGTTCTTCACTCCTCTCCTGCCTCCCGGGGTTTCCTTCCCTGACCCACAAAGTACCTGATGCTTTTCAGCTTCCCTCTGGCCATGCAGAGCCCTTCACAACTTACAGTTCCCAGAGTTGAATATGTGCCTATTGTGGGAATCATTCCAAAACTGTTCAAAGAAGGTGGTTGAAAGTTTGGCCTATTCAGCCCTGACTGGCGTGGCTCCGTGGGTTGAGCCTCTTCCCATAAACCAAAAGGTCGCCACGTCCATACCTAATCAGGCACATGCCTGGGTTGTGGGCCAGGTCCCTGGTTGGGGGTATGCGAGAGGCAACCACACACTGATGTTTCTTTCCCTTTCTTTTCCCTCTCTTCCTTTCTCTAAAAAAATAAATAAAATCTTCAAAAAAAAGAAAGTTTGGCCTTTTCAAAGGGCTTTTTATCTGATTTTCTACTGCTTTTATCTGTCATGATTAAACTATAGTGTAGTAAAGTCAGCCCCATTTCCCTTCACTTATTCAGATGGTGTGATTATATTCGAGCTTGTAGAATAGCCTTAGGATTTGAAAACCAAAGTTAATGAAGGGGAAATTCTCTTAATATACAGTCTTTACAATAGTAGAAGGAATTTTTGAGAATTAATTGTTATGTTTTCTTTAAGTATAATGCTCTCAGTATTTTTTTTCTATTTTACTTATTCTGAAATAGCCATTGCCTCTTGTTTTCCCATCTTTATTAAATTAGCATCAGAGAATGAATACGAGAAAAGCAGAGACGAGTTGAAGAAAAGGAAAGCTCCTGGTCCAGGCAAAGTAAGTGAAAACGAACCCTCACACCCAGATGGGTGAGTCTTCTGGGGTGGTCTTAGCCGAGTTCCCAACTGCCTCGTGCCCCTCTCCTAGGAGCCTGGGCTCTATTTTATTTTTATTTTTGAACTTTTTCTTTTGAATTCTGTATTCTTGCCTCCATTTACCCGGTAACTGCTCATATCCCTCTTTTATTAATTAGTGAATCTTTGCATTCTTGTGTGCCATACAGAGACATTTGAGTGATATATTCTTATTTTTCTCCTTTCATTACTCAGAAGATAGGATGTAATTTACTGCATTCTACATCTTGGGTTTTTTTTTTAGCCTCTTGTGGAAATCATTGTATATCAGTACAGCAAGAGCTTCCTACTGTACTCTATTTAGCCAGTTCCCTCCAGATAGTCCCTTGGGTCATTTCTAGTCTTTTATTACTACAGTGTTATGAATAACCTTGTATAGGCATGATTTTGTATGGATACAGGAAGTTCCCAGAAATGGGATTGCTAGGTCCTCTCCCTGGGAGGCCTTTAGGACCACCCTCAGGTTAGTTAATTCACAAGAGACCTCATAGGACCCAGCGTGTGGTTGTATTCACAGCTGTGATTTGCTACAGCAAAGTATGTACCAGGCACAGTCAGCGAAGGGAAAAGGCCCACAGGCTGAAGTCTGGGAAACCAGGTACAGGCTTCCGAAGGACCTTGTCCAGTGGAGTCATACAGGACATGCTGAATTCCCCTAACAACGAGCTGTGACCAGTTGTGAATTGTTGCTAACTGGGGAAGCTCATTAGAGCCGAAGTGCCTGGGGTTCTATCGAGGACGGAGATCACTGGGCGAATGCCTGCCTGACATGTACCCAGTTGCATTCTCCAAGAAGGAAAGCGGGTTCAGCATAAGTCACATGGTTTTTACTAACAGTTTAGGCACAGTGAGCCCCTTTTATCAGTTAGGATAGTGGGAACCCTCCAGAAACCCAGATTCCCGGACTCCAGCTAAGGGCCACCTCGCAAACAGGCCTTTCAAAGGACAGCAGTCGGGCTTGCTACGCTAACTTGTTTCTGCTCCTGGAGCAAAAGGCAAGCGCCAGATTTCCCTCCACGGGAAGGAAGTTGGACCTGTGTGAACTGCCCTTTATAAAAACCATCACTTTCTCTCACTCACTGAAATCAACTCCTCGAGGCTTTAAAAAAAAAGAGTCCAGGTTGAGAGAGAATGTGCCCCCATTTTTTATTACTTATGTCAAGATCACTGATGGGAAACTGTTCTTTCTTAGTTTTGTTTTCTGATGGGCACAGGAACAATAATTCTTAGAGTTAAAATTATTCTAAATAAAATAACCCGTCTCCTCTTTGTAGCCTCCCCCAGCACTTTCCTCCAAGTACCCAGAAGATGACCCAGACTACTGTGTGTGGGTCCCGCCTGAAGGTGGGTTATTTTTACTTTCTTTTTCTCTAAGATTTAGTTATGTATATTTATGAACATATAATATACAGAAAAGGGCAAAGATAGGTTTACAGTTGCAATACAAATAAACAGTACAATAATTAACAAGAATAAACTCTGTTTTGTGCACTCACAGCCGGGAAGTACTTTTTGCCAACCCCTGTGTATTTAAGGTGCAAAAGAAGAAAGTTACAAGAGTATGTAGTAGAATAACCTCCCTTCTGGAAGAATAGGTGAATTAGAAGCTCTAAGGCAGGGGTGTCAAACTCATTTTCACTGGGGGCCACATCAGCCTTGTTATTGCCTTCAAAGGGCCGAAATAATTTTAGGACTGTGTAAATGTAACTACTTCTTAACAGTTAAGGAGTTGAAATTACTTTTGGCCCTTTGAAGGCAACCACAAGGTTGATGTGGCCCCAGTGAAAATGAGTTTGACACCCTGCTCTAAAGAGATAATGTCAATCAAATATAATCTGTGGACTCTGGATCCTTGTTCAGACAAACTACTGTAAAAGAAAGCTATAGGCCCTGGCTGGCGTAGCTCAGTTGATTGAATATGGACTGCGAACCAATGGGTCGCAGGTTCGGTTCCCAGTTAGGGCATATGCCTGGGTTGTAGGCCAGGTCCCCAGTGGGGGCCATGTGAGAGGCAACCACACATTGATGTTTCTCTTTCTTTCTCTTTCTCCCTCCCTTCCCTTAAATAAGTAAATAAATAAATAAATCTTAAAAAAATAATCTATTAAAAAAAAAGAAAGCTATAAGCCAGATCATTTTAAACACTAGTTAGGTATTTGATGATATTAGGAAATTATTCTTAATTTTTTAAGAGCGTGAATAGTGTTGAGTTGCATTTTTTTTTTTTAGAATAAGTCCTTATCTTCTAGGATTATGTATCGAGTGTTCACAGATGGAATGATATCTGGGATTTGCCTTTAAACAATCCAGTTGTGGAGGATGAGGGAAGGCAGGGGAGGGGAGTTGGTAAACGGGTTCGCCGTTTACTGGTGGTTGTTAAAGGGGCGGCAGGCTCGAGGAGGTTCGCTTTGCCTTTCTCTTTGCTTTCGTATTTTCAGTTTTCTTTAAAGTGAAAAAAAATTATCTGGCTCTGCCTCATCTACTTGGTTTATTTCCTCTAAATACAACTAAATATTAGTTTCTTATGACTTCTTATATATATTATATACAATTCATAAAATGCCTACATCAACAATAACATACATAATATTTCACCACTTTTTTACACCTAATGGAAGCCTATTCTCTTCCCCCTGTAGATTTAAGATTGTTATCTATCAGTCAGAATAACTAAGTTTGTAACAGTGGTAGGCATTGTTACAGACAACACCTAATGAACCCACAGCATGCATTTTGTGAATTTATTTATTATTTCCCAAGTGCAAGTAATTATGCAGTACAAGTATTTACCTTGATGAATACAGTTAATTATATTGTGTTAATTTGTTTCATAACTGAATTAAGAGTTTAATTAGTTCTATTATTTAAGAGAGGTGTATACTAGTCAAAATAAGAGTAGTTACTTTTTTTCTCAATTAGGATATCATAGAAATAAGTTTATCCTTTTAATCGATCCTCCCTTTTCACACTACACAAAACTTATAATAGGAAATATTGAGATGTTTTCCAAATAAGGCAGAACGGGGTGTTACTGGGGTTTTCTATAATAAAATATTTTCTAATTATGTTACTTTGAATGTTTAGTCATATAAATGTTTTTCTTATTCCAGATAAGTCAAACAATGTCATGTGCAAAATTGGAAGCATATTCTGTACCTCGCTGTTTAACACTTAACACTGTATGGAGACCCTTTTGTAGTTTATAGATTTCTGTGCGTGTGTGAGCACAATCCTCTTAACGGTATGGATGTGCCTTCACGTATTTAACCAATTTCCTCGATGACTATTTGCTGTGTTTCTCCTTTTCTTGTGACAAACAGTATGTAACCAGTGGCCTCTAACATTCGTCACTTTGCAAGTGTAGAGGTGCACGCACAGAAGAAAATTTGTGACAATTAACGTGCTCGGTCAGAAGCTGCGAGTGTTTTAAAGATGTTTGAATCGCAGTCTACAGACACCGTGCCAGTTCACGGTCACACATGTGTCCTTCAGGCAGCGGAGGAGATGCTGGTTGACCGTGTGCGCCTCACAGGCCGCTTTTTCTGTGGGTCGAGTTTCTAATACGTTAGTAATCAAGAGAAATAGGATTATTGGAAGTGTTTGCTTTTTTACTTAATAATTGTTAGAGTAGAAGTGTAGAGAGGGCTATATTTTGAGATTGTATGTAAAAAGTCAGTTTTTATTATAGAAGGAACCTTTACCTGTTTTACTTTTTGGCCCACTGAAGTCTTTTTCTTTCCCTCCTGACTTTGGAAAACTGAATGTATTTCATTCTTTCTTTCTTTATACTCTGATGTAGGTCAAAGTGGAGATGGCAGGACCTACCTTAATGACAAGTATGGCTATTGATGGCCGCAGAACCCTAAAGGAGGACTGTGGAGACCACGTGACGTGGGGTGTTTTTAGGATAACATATCAAGCTGAATGTCCAGAGAAGGAGCTCGGATGACCATTTGTAAAGTCTGGTGACTGGCCTTTTCTTCTATACTGTTGGCTTTCTAAATTTATCTGCCCGTCTGATTCTCTTGAATTTGGGGTTTGTGTTTCAAAGTGTTTGTGTATGTGTGTAAAAAGGAACCGTATATTTTGAGAATTAGTAAAGTAAGAGACATGACTGTGAAAAGGAAAAGGCGAAGGTGTTTCATGTTTGTTTAAGGCCACGGTGTCTTTCACTAAGTTTTGGGGACTGTGCTTCTGAGCAACAGGGTGCTTCTGGCGGGCAGGCTCCAGGAGTCGCTGATATTGCCTCCTCAAAGAGTGCTGAGATACGAGGTCATGCCACGGGTGTGACCCTGAGGGACCCAGCGTTCACAGTGGGGGTTTCCTCCTCCCTCCCACTGCCATCCTCCAGGCAGGACCCGGTTCAGGACCATGGCATACGTCATGCACAGTCCTGATCAAATCTCAGCCCTCTGGGTGCCTTGGACTCGGACCAGTCAGATTAGTCACTCCTTCTCCCGTGGAGAGGTGCAGGTAGGTCACAGAAGGAAAAGCTGGATGTGTCTCACCCAGTGTGGGGCTTCTCACCTCTGTGGAGAGGGGAATAAAAGTTCCTTTTCTGCGTGGAAGCAGGAAGAAGTGCAAGAAGATGACCTGTCTCCCCCTGTCCCACCCCCATCATGCCTCCCTTCTAGAGGAAGGGAAAGCCTACGCGTGGAAGCAGGTGGAGAGCCCGTGGACTGGGCTGGAGGCAGACGATGCGCAGGCAGGGGAAATGCCTCGGCCCAGCGGGAGAGTGGACCTGGGTGGCGCTTTCCGACTGTGGATTATACGACGTGTGTGAGGTAGGCAAGAAGCAGTGATGAGAGACTTCGGTGACCCTGACAGCTGTGGGAAGGCTGGTCTGCTACGGGTGATGGCTTCCACTTCTCAAAAAACAATACCAAGGTTGGTATTGTGAGAGACTGTTGTTTTGAACTTCATTTAGAGCAACAGGGAGGAACTTGTTAATGATATAAGTGACAGGAATTTGGGGACAGGCTTACTATGCCATCTTGTGTGAAGTCAGTGGGCAAAGGTCTGAACCAGAGCAGTGGTCTTCAAAGGTGAAACTCTTCATTCCAATGAAACTGTGTAGGATCCTAACACTTGAACAGGTAGAAATATGCCCGCTGTGGGGGAAGCAAGGGCTCCGAGACTGGGTCTGCGCACACTGCGTGCGCACATTCTCTCCTCCTCACAATGACCCTGAGGAACTTAGGGCTCCACAGAGCATCGTCTGCTTTAAGAAGGCATGTTTCTAAGTGTCCTGGGGAGGTAGGCATGGCCCCACATCTAGAGATGCTGAAGCAAGTAGGGCTCCACATGCCACAGTAAAGTGGTAAATCATGTAACTTGTATAATTAACATCAGTGGTCAGTGGCCTTGATTCAAAAGGCCTGCACTTGAGTCTCAGCTCCCCTTTACAAAATAGCAGACTTTGGGGATACGACTTACATTCCCTGAGCCTCAGCTCTTTCACGTGTGAAGCAGAGATGACAGTGCTTCCTGCCGTCTGAGCCGCAGATTTGTTCCGAGGATCGAATGAGATGATGCGGATGTGTGTGCTTAGAGGGCTCTGTAGATGTCAGTAGTCAGTGTCCATTATAAACAGGAGACAAACCTTGACGTCTGGACCTGCGTCCTCGTCTGGATTAGATCAACGATTGTCAACTGTGGCTGCATATCAGAATCACCCAGGGAAATTTAAGTTTTCCATCCCAGTGCGTGGATCCCACGTCAGAGCATTCTAATCAGAATCTCTGGTGATCCCTTGTAAAACCACTCAAGGTGGTTTTAGTGCAAAGCCTGTAGTGGAGAACCTCTGGTGCTCAGCCAGCCAACCTCTTCTGGCAGTGCCAGGTGCTTTGGGCTCTGCAAGGGCACAGTCCCCGTTGTGACTGCCCAGCTCTGCTCTTGGAGCACAAACGAGTGCGGCTTTGTTGTGGCAAATACTTACTTACGAAAGCGGGCGGCTGGCTGGAGTTGGCCAGCAGGTCACTGGTGGCCCAGTGCTGCGCTAGGCTAATCTTTCAAGGTCTCATCTGCTTAAAGAGGTGCCTTACAGGATCTTTAGGAAGTGATGCGTGTCCTGCTTGTGGAAGTCTGGAGTGTTTTTGTTGGAAAGGCTTACCCGTCCTGAATGATCACAGTTTATCGTTGCCAGAAATCAAGATAATTCAGTCTTCTTCCTCAGAAACAAATGTAAGGTTATTAGCCATTACCAAAAAAGTATCATTACAGGCAGAACACAGTAAGTTAACTGAAAGCAAGGTGTCCCTGCCCTGCTATCCTGGACTGCCCAGGAGATCAACTCATACCTACCTCTCTTGTTAAAGAGCAGTGTGAGGCCACTGGGTGTTAGTGATGGTGAAATGATCAGATTTCGGTTTTTAAAAGAACATGTGAGCTCCAGGGTGGAGGATGGATGGAAGAGGGCGAGAGGATGCAGGGGGACCAGTTACGCCAGTCACAGCTGCCCGTCACTTGTCACACCCTATCCAGGAGGTGGCAGCATTTCAATGGTAAAACAACAGATCCCCAGGCTGGGGCTGACGGTTTCAAAGTTTTGTAGGAATTATGTCACATTTCCCAAAAGAGCTAACTCCAACGAAGTCAGTAATGGATAAAGGCTTGGGCTACCAGGAAATGGTGGGGCTTCATACTTCCTGTCCTAGATCAAAACAATTCCAGAGAAAATATTTATAGCAGGCATTCAACAAGCATTTTCTAATATACCAGGCAGTGTAAAACCCTTAGAAATTTCCTAAAGCAAAGAGACTTGTTTTAACATTAAAAACATATCCCTGACATATCTCATGTCTACACCAAAGTCTAGGTGAGAGATTATGGCAGTTCGTACTAAGTGGAGAACCAAAGGGTTGCTGGTTCAATTCCCAGTCAGGGCACATGCCTGGGTGGTGGGCCAGATTCAAAACAAAAACCAAAAAAACCCAGTAGAAGTAGAATGGCTGAGACTGAGTGAGGAGTAAAGAGCAAGGAAGGGTGGGGAGTGATTTCTAGATGGCTGATGTCATTCACTGAGATGAGGGGACGCTGGAGGAGGATGGGGCGGAGGTGGAGGATGTCATCGGTTCAGTTTTGGACCAGTGGAGCTTGATGTCCTTTGAGACGTCTGAGTGAGGATGTCTGGAAAGCAGCTGGTTGCGGAGGTCTGGATCTCAGAGGAGGGCCGGAGGACAGCCGTCGTCTTCTACCAGGGACGAGCCTAGGAGTCCGGGGCGCTGGCAGGTGAGTCTGAGGGCCAGGCGGCGGGCAGGAGTGCTGCGGGCCGTCTCGCACAGCCGGTCTCCATGTCTTGCACTGGAAACAAAGTTTTTCTTGGCTATGGGTGCTCATTGCGGAGGGGGGGGCGGGGCTCAGTAAGGTGAAGTTAGCAGCTCTCTGTAGAGAAAAGGTCGGGGATGTTTTTAATGTTAAAACAAGTCTCTTTGCTTTAGGAAATTTCTAAGGGCTTTACACTGCCTGATATATTAGAAAATGCTTGTTGAATGCCTGCTATAAATATTTTCTCTGGAATTGTTTTGATCTAGGACAGGAAGTATGAAGCCCCACCATTTCCTGGTAGCCCAAGCCTTTATCCATTACTGACTTCGTTGGAGTTAGCTCTTTTGGGAAATGTGACATAATTCCTACAAAACTTTGTAACCGTCAGCCCCAGCCTGGGGATCTGTTGTTTTACCATTGAAATGCTGCCACCTCCTGGATAGGGTGTGACAAGTGACGGGCAGCTGTGGCCGACTTCCTGAGAGTGGGAGCCAGAGGGAAGCCCGCCAGCCCTGTGGCAGTCCGAGGCAGGAATCCAAGCCCCTTTGAGGGGAGGGGGGTTGAATTTCCACACGGGGTTTGGACCTAACAAGGTTTGATGGACTGCTGGGAAATGATATAAAACTCTCCTTGACCTTTGTGCGGGGAGGGGGAGGTAGGAAGGTCAGAGCATTGAACTGGGATGGTGTCTTCTTGTGACAGGCTGCTTTTTGACCTTGAGATTCCTCGCTTATTTTGGACATTGAGGACAGTTTTCAAGATTTCTCCTCTGCAATGTGAATGGACTTTGCCTTGCTTTGGTTTTAGAGGCTTGGCACAACTACAGTAGGGCAAGAATGAGACTTCCAGCCCACCGGAAACCAGAAGTCTTTCTCCCCCTAGTCGGCCCTGGCATTGGTGGTGCAGCCCCGGGGGGGGGGGGGGGGGGCTCAGCACATGAGGGGGTGTGGCTCCCCCTTAGGGAAGCTCCACCTTCTCCATCCCCCAAGTCGATCTCAGCAGCTTCTCTGTGCCTCCCTTTCCCTCGCCCGCTGTCTTACCCAAGCTCCCCTTTACTCGGACTCTGCACAGAGCCCCCTTCCTCTCGTGTCTGCCCCATCAAGCTCTCCATGTGACTGCAGTGGCTAAAGTACATTTCTGAGCACAGTCCTTCGCTCTGAAACCTCAGCGCCTTCTCCATGACCCAAAGAGTGAGGTATAAATTCACTAGAGGCTTTCAAATCCCTTATCGAAGGGATTCCTGTAATTTTTTAAAATAATTTTTTATTTTTCAATTATAGTTGCCATACAATATTATATTAGTTTCAGGTGTATAACTAGTGATTGGACATCATATAACTTACTGTCAGCCTGATAAGTCTAGTACCCATCTGACACCACACAATTATTACAGTATTACTGACTGTATTCCTATGCTGTAGTTCACATCCCCATAACTGTTCTGTAACTACCAATTTGTGCTTCTTAATCTCTTTACCTTTTTGGCTCCTGTACTTTCTGGTCATCATAACCACACCTACCATATGCCCTTGCCCTTTCCTTTTTGCCACCTGACCAGGCGTACCTGATACTCTAATAATAACAGACTATTTGCCCCAAACACACCTTCTGCTTTTACGTTCTATGTTTTCTATTAATCCTCGCTGTGTACATGGCCCTGAGCCTTGGTTTCCTTGTCTAGTAAATAGGGAAGATAATACCTTGTGGTACTGTGGTGGGGATTAAATAACACATAGCTATGAAACTCTTGATCATGTTCAACACGTAAATAGGTCTCCCAAAATGCAGTCATCATTCGTGGCGTTGCGGTCCTCCTTGTTCCTGTTTGCTGGGTGAGGTCCTATTTATTTTTCGAAGTCCAGCTCGAGTGACTCCCCCCTTCAGGAAACCCTGACCGCCATGGCTGTCACTGACTCTTCCTCCCCGGCTAGCCCTGTAGTGCTTTACTTCTGTATCTCTGATGGCCCTTCCTCCAGCGGTCTGGTGTCTGTTAATTATATGCGTGCTTAAGTAATTTATGCTTATAAGCTTTATGAGTTGGGGACAGGAACTATATATCTTATTTTGCACCCCACCTACACCCCGTGGCACTTTTCTGTTCACTAAACAGGTGCTCAGGTAACTTAGTTTAAATGGGTGGGGTTGGAGGGCACGTGCTAGTTCTGGTCCTCCTGCCCTTGGGTGTCCGTCCCAACCAGAGAGGGAGGAGGAGCCATGCTCATTTCCAGACCAGCTGGACAGTCAAGGAGCTGAGTGTTTTAGCTGGGTAAATGCAAAGGCCTGAATCCTCTTCCTACTTGGGATAGAATCAGGTGGGACTGCCCCTTGCCCTTAAGGAGCTCTGGATTCCAGTGGCTGGCTTTAATTGTTTGTTTGTTTGTATGTTTGTTTTTATCCTCACCAGGGGACATTTTCATTTGTCTTTTTTTTAGAGAGAGAGTGAGAGGAATGGAGCTAGAGGAAGGGAGAGAGAGAAACATCGATTCCAGAGAAGCATTGATTGGTTGCCTTCATATAT